ATGAATGTCAACTAGAAGTCAAGAAATCCCCACAAACCCCCAGATTGAATTTATTAGAGTTTCCTATTATGAGTTCATAGTTTTTGTGGTTAATTATTTTTATGAATATACATTTTTACTGTTCAACATTACTGCGGATCCTGTGCAACTTTTAGACTATTCTATAGATTTCTTCTTCTAGACATATTTTGATGACAATTCCTATTGCTGCTCTAGTTTTTCCTGTTGGAATGAATTTATGTAGAAAAAGTTACTATGTTTTGAGCTTTTTGTCAAATTCATGGGTATTTATACCGGCTAGATTTTCCCGGTTATCTGTGGTGCTTCAGCATGTATATACTATTTTCTGGCAATATTTCAATCGTTAATTGTTTACGATCGGATGAAATCACTCATGTAATCATTTCAAGTTAGGGTGCAAGATAATGTCTACTGTTTCGTTTTGCATCAATGGATGCTATCAGTCAGCGTGAAATATCATATAAAACTGCTAATTATTTTCCTCTCTTGTGAAGACGTTTGCTAGTAACCTTTTAAAACGGCACTTCTGGGTAATAAAGTGTTGTTAACCAAGGTAAGAGAAGTAAATTTTTTCGAAAGTACCTGTTTTAATAATTTAATTCGATCCATTTGTAGTGAATACGTGGTGTATGTTCCTGCTGACATGGGTGAGATGATGATATCACCTTGTAGGAAAGCTTCGATGGCAATATTTATTTCATCCTCTACTACTTTCATTCGTCGAAAAATAATTTACTAAACTTAACATGTACAGATCTTTCTTCACTTTGCATAGATTCCGTAGCGATATTTGCTGTGCTAGCCCCTCGAGGGTGCCGTCAGTTAATCACAAGTTAGTTGTACTCCGTAGATTACAAATGACTGTACTCTTGTATAAAATTCTTATCTATTCATATTTGGGAAGAAAGTTTGGTTGACATAATAGGAGTTCAAGTAGGAAGTAATTTGAGTATAGTACACATCATGAATATGGTTCTCATTTCTAGATAATATAAACCTGAATTGAGGAAATTAACCAAATTAACCAATTTACTTTGTCTCTAACTTTCCTTTCACATGTTGATACAACATGTAACGAGCTTGGATATCAAAATGACCGACGGAGCTACACCGACTGGATTGCTTGTTCTCTGAGGTCCTATCATGTTCGGAAGGTTTATTGGATAATGGCAAGACAAAAAACAGTTACCGTCACAATGTAAATATCTAAGTTACGGTAAGGTTTCGAGGGAGATATCGTACCGCTAGCTGGGTGCGTGTGACGACAGTTAAATGTTTCCTACGAGTGACTAGCAGTCCATGTTAATACTATATTTCTTACGGGAAGAACAATCGGGTTAGAAGTGGTCGGTCTTAAAAATAGCACACTCCTTCTTACACGCAGTATTCTGATTCTGATGGCATTTTTTTGTCCGGCATTAGCACGGTTCCTTTCCGGTCAAATAACCTTAAAAAGGTGATGCATAACAAGCCTTGTGGAACTGTGGTTCATTGGTCTAGAAGATGACTTTTGACCAATGAATCACAGTCTTGAACACTGTCGCACCTGCCGAGGTTTGGGCAGATAGTATTATTAGCCCTCACATATTAGGTGTGGCTCATTACCTACTGCACGAATGTGCACAATGTTGGTGAGTGCATTTCGATATTTTTTCGTAACAGACCTGAAGCATGACGTTCCGTTGTCTCTGTGCTCATACTAAGCTAATACCTTTTCTCTTTTAGATATCTTACAGAAATAGCTTTCGCGTTGTAGGCAGCCAGAAATTACCAACCGCCCGTATGCTTCCAGCAAAATCCAGAACCCAAAAACAATCTACGCTCCTTACGTTTGTCTCCTTCTTGCCTTCACTTCCCAATACAATATTAGGCTCCTTACAACTTCATCAACTCGCTCTGCAGCCATTTCTGACGTCGACAGCCAGTAAAAATGTATCTATAGCATCCTTATACTGTGGTATCGGTTTCTTACTGAAACTTTCGACGTCCAAAGCCTGTGCCAAATCTGACAGCAGGCGTCTCTTAGGAATTCGGAGTTACAAATGTATATTGTTTCTGAGACACCCATACGGAACCTGAGTATAGTGATTCACTTGACCTCACCTGGTGAACATGCAAAGCTAACTTTACTAGGGTCTGTAGACTCACTGGCTACTTATCATGGACTCACTGGTGTTGGTATATCACTGGATTGCATGACAGAAAGCGCACTTCTTAACGGGATATCAGCCAACAGCCGTCGGTGGGATGTGACAGAATGGATCTGTAAGAACTAGAAAGGATCATTAGACTAGACAATTCCTACTCATCATTTCCGCCCACGCACCCACCGAATGTAGTTCGAATGATTCATAGAATGAATTCTATTGGAAGCTGTCAACGTTTTCGCAGAAAGCAAGAGTTTATTTGAAGGTAACAGCAATTACCATCATGATGAAACCTGGCATTATATTTTGTCTACTGAGTCAGCGGCAAAGACGGTTGATAATCTACACCCATACGTTAACGTCTTACGCTTGTCAGAGGCATTGTGATGCAGCTACTCTCAATTAAACAAAAAGGGAGGAAGCGGTGGGCCGTATTGGTCACCTCACTAACTTGGAAACCTGCACCACACCAAACTGACTGGTCACTGACAACATTTAACAATTTACGCAAACTCTGACATCAACCGGTGAGATGAGATATTCAACTAATTAGTTAGGAACGAGTAAAATGCATTGCACTTCGCTCTCTACTATTATACTCCTGTGAGAATTAGCACCTGAAACAAAGATGATATACAGAGATTAAAGGTTTCCAACCATATTCGCAGTATTGCCAATGTACGGTGGAAACACTACATGAACATTGTCGAAGTTAATTGAGGTGTTAAGCGAGAGAGACAAGTCAGTCAATGAGCTTGTGAAGCCTCACAAACTGAGAAGTCTTGGACATGTGTTGAGGATACTCATCCACCCCAACCACTTCGACATGCAATGTTAAGCGAAATAGGATTGGGTTGGGAGATGGTTCAGAGTGGCCAGACCATGACGTGGTACTGTACTAGTCCATGAAGTCTCTGACTATCGATTTGAGCTATGTAAGGAGGTGTAGGCTGGTTGATTAGAGGGGTCAATGGTCAGAGACTCTTAGTGCCACGGAAAAATATCGGTCATAATGGCACAAATGTATTCACTTTCCATCGTCTTAGTGGTTTCGAATATCCAAATTTTACTTTCATATATTTATTCTCTTTCTCTCATATCGGTCATTTGTCTGCATTTGTGTTCTTTGGATGCTTTTGTGAAGTGTTGCATAGTTGGGTCGATGTACTTCTGTGTGAGGTTCTACGTTGGTTTTCTGTCTCTGCCTGTTGGCTAATCTATCAGTTACTATGTTGAAATGCCATTGGTTTTCAATATATCCAAGCGTGTATTTATCTTACTAGTCATTCATTCATTCTTTTAGCTATGCTTTCTATCGTCTCGTTCAGATTTTTCTATTCTTTTGTGTTCACACTCATGTAGACCAGAGTATATCTGAATACAAAATCATCAACCTCATTCTTAACGTTTATGTAATATGAGTAGATGAATTCCATGCAGAATTTTAATGGCAAATCAATATTATTTTACTGTAAAAAACAATTCTCTTTATACTGAAATAAATGAAAAAATTGGTTCATGAAATTTCTTTCCCTATCATCAATCTACTTCCCGTTCTTTTTTGTTTATTCTGGTTGCAGATAAAACTGTACTTACTTATAGGTTTTAAGTGTTACCATTTCTCTATCTCCTCTCCACTATTCATCAGAGCAAATTTATTGCATTTGAGATAAAGTGCAGAAATTTGTACACTTGTTCACTGTTTTTGCAGCTATGCGTAAATTAAATTGCGGAAATAACATTTCGATGAGAATATTTTTAGTTGTTGTTAGCGCAGCAAGTTTTTAGTACATTGTTGAATTTGAAGTAGTTGGAGTCCGACAGTCTTCAATTAGGTTCGTAAAATATATATTTCTACTAAAGTGGACTGACATTTTAACAGTGTAATACTTCCTCATTGATAACTTCAATCTGAATTAAGACGCAACTGATAAGCTTATTGACTAAGTTACAGCTTAGGGAGAAAGCTTCATTCAGAAAGTAATATGAGCCTTTTTGAATGCGTCTTATGAAACTGCTCTTTTAATCTGTTTAATTTTTTACACAATATTGTCCTTTCATTTGGTGTTGCTCATTTCTCGAGGTTTTGGGAGGAAAAAAATATTTAGAAAAGTGTTGAATGAGTTCGTGTTTAGTGGACTAGTTTAGCTGTTGCATCTACAGAAGTGTAAATGAATTTAGGAAGGTATGTTAAATACTAATAGAATTTAATTATTTTTCTTAATGAGCCTGTTTTTCGACAGTATCAGCTGTCAAATTTCAACTGTTCGGCTAAGTATTTGAATGAAAGAGATCATAAGCTGGATAGTATTTTCGACATACAAAGAACGAATAGTTGGAGGCATTAATGGCTTACGCGTATATATTCTCTGTCCTGTTGTTTAACTGAAATATCTCATGAATATATTTTTAATCTATTTGTTTCCTATTCAGTCTTTTTTTTGTTCACTTCATTTGATATCCTTCTCCTTCTGTCAATTTTCTCCTTACAAGCTGTTGCAAAGTTTGACAACTTAAATAGATACACTGTATTGAAATTTCTACATTATTTTGTCCATCTGTGTCACGATCTTGAAATGCACTTTATCTACAAACATTAGTTCAGGTTTATGTTTTCATTAACATTCAAAGAAAAGTTATGACTCAGCTTAGTGTATATCTTTGTACCTGGTTTATAAGTAGTTACCTGTAAATGAGTTATTATTTGTTCCTGTAGTTGGATTTCATTATTTTACGGTTCTTATTACTGTCACATTCCAAAGTTTTTAACAATTAGGTCGTCTATATATATCTTTTGTTTTGCTTTTTCTTATACCATTCTGTTTTGTACAGTCATGTTCTGAATTCACCCATTTCACACGTGGTCAAATAGGACGATGGCAGCGCATATTCAATAATCAAAGTGAACGTTGTGCTCTACTTGAACAAATGATTGAACAACTTGCTAAACAGTTACGTCAACTAGAGTGTTTAACAAACAGAATAATCCACAGTCTACTGTCACACTTAATTCAGCTGGTAGGTTATTTTCAGCTGAATTTAATGCTTTTATTTGCATGTGGTTTTGATTTTTGTTGTTGTCATGTTTCGATAGGTTGACTTGCTTATTGTGGTCACCAAATGTAATCACCGTGTAGTGTTTTTACCAGATGTTTTTCAAGACAATCTGAGAAAGTCAATTCATATGTCGAATTAGGTCACTGGTACTAACTCTTTGTTGATTAAAAAAAATTGCTTGTAGTCGTACAAGGAAATATTGAAATACTAGTAAGATGAGTGTAACTCAGCAGCTGCGTGTACTTTCATGCACTATGCTATGAACCACTTCAACAACTTGAGGACTTTTAATACTTCCTGATTGTCGAAACCTTGTTAAGTGGAACAGGGTTAAAGCCTGTAACCGACTGGTTGAAAGTCAACTGCCTAAACCAATGAGGCACAGCTTCACAAATGATATTCTGGTCAATAGATATGTTACTGATTTTATTGGTTTTGTATACAAATGAATATACTTTCCGATTCAGTGGAATTGTCAAACATAATGCAGGTTAAAAACTCGCGTCAAGCATAATGACCAACTGATGTCGAGTATTTCTTCTCTTCTATTTATTGGAAAAGTATTATTCATGAAGAATTTTCATTTGGAACTCTTTATTTAGCATAACTTTGAGAAGTCGTATTTCTGATCGGAATTTGAAGGTCATAACTACTGTATCACTGAAACACAAAGGCTTCTCTCCATATATTGATAAGTACGTGATCTTTAACAGCACAAGTGGTATCACTTGCTATCTTTTTCAATTACTCGTTTAAAAACCACTGCGTCTTTATGTAGTGTTGACATTTTTTGGACAAAATTTCCAGTACTACGTTAATGACCCTCAACTGTTGCGAGTGATTTTAGAGTTCTTCACTTTTTCCTGAATGTCATCTTCATTTTCACTATATTTTCAACTAGCTTTTGGCGAATTTGATGCTTATTTGTGGTTTCCAACTTAATCTATCATTTTCATAAAGCAAGCCCTAATTTTAAGCTCTACTTTTAGTTGATGTTCAATGGAGTGGTTTTCTCTTCATGAGTAGCACCTGGGTTTCTTTTCCATGTCGGTATTTTTAATGAAGCTAACTGTTCAACTTCACTGTGTTGTTACATTGATGCATGCGAAAGTATTCGATATCATCCTTTGGACTACATTCTTTAGTTGGCCACAAGAAATAAGATCATCAAAATTAATCTGGTGCCGGCTTTCCTGAATTCAATGACTGTCTCCATAGCTCCTTTTACGAGACTGAGTACTGATTACTTGTAATGGATTTGTGTGTCTCCGTTTATTGTATTGTCATTTTCTGTAGATCAACAGCTGTTACATTAAACTGCTAATCTGGTTTTCCTAGTATGATAACCTAATCTACCTGTTGACGACATCCAAAACAACCTCTAGAGCACTATTCAAATTGTTAATTTATAGAAAAGCGATGTCAAGATGTTCTGCAGAATTCAGAATAGCATATTGATAACGCATTGGAACTTAAATGTTAACGACGTTACAATTTCGATTCAACAAGTAAGGATTTTCCTCTCGTAAATCAGTAGTTAGTTATGATGTATTCATATTATTTGCAAACATTCCTTTGAAATAAACAACTGATATATAAACGTGTACTCAGAAGGCAGTATCATTCTTAAGATGCAGCTCATACAGTTGCACTGGGAAAGTTGAAGCTGAGATGACCAATAAATTATGCGGTCAAACAAATAGTGTGGCCGTGGACAGACAGAAAAAATCAACGTAGATTCTCGCGCAGAAGTTCCCGCACTTAGCAGTATTATACAAAAAACAAGCGTGTAGAATAAGTGACAGAAATGTGGAACAGTATGTGGGGGACGACAGAGAGAGTAAATACATGAAGATAAACGTTAGATATTCGAAATCACTAAGACGATGGAAAGTGAATACATTTGTGCCATTATGACCGATATTTTTCCGTGGCACTAAGAGTCTCTGACCATTGACCCCTCTAATCAACCAGCCTACACCTCCTTACATAGCTCAAATCGATAGTCAGAGACTTCATGGACTAGTACAGTACCACGTCATGGTCTGGCCACTCTGAACCATCTCCCAACCCAATCCTATTTCGCTTAACATTGCATGTCGAAGTGGTTGGGGTGGATGAGTATCCTCAACATATGTCCAAGACTTCTCAGTTTGTGAGGCTTCACAAGCTCATTGACTGACTTGTCTCTCTCGCTTAACACCTCAATTAACTTCGACAATGTTCATGTAGTGTTTCCACCGTACATTGGCAATACTGCGAATATGGTTGGAAACCTTTAATCTCTGTATATCATCTTTGTTTCAGGTGCTAATTCTCACAGGAGTATAATAGTAGAGAGCGAAGTGCAATGCATTTTACTCGTTCCTAACTAATTAGTTGAATATCTCATCTCACCGGTTGATGTCAGAGTTTGCGTAAATTGTTAAATGTTGTCAGTGACCAGTCAGTTTGGTGTGGTGCAGGTTTCCAAGTACGTGAAGTGGTCAAAATGGTCTGTTGCTTCCCTCCCTACTGCCAACCAGACCAGTCTTGCAGCATGGATTTACATTTGACCTACATCAACGTCCGATTTTAGTTTGAGCAACTGTGAGGTTACTATGGGAATTATATTTTGTCCTCTCCTTGCTGCTGTGTATTTGTTAAGTACTCATTAAAAATTTAGTTAATGAATGTTTAAGTTGTGTCAATGATGCTTTCATTGTGTATAACAATTTTCACTATATTGAACGCCTACGTCAAACGTTTAATATCACACCATGATGTTAAAATTACAATGTGAAAGTATAGGCACACTGCACTTTTTTGATGTCTTAAGTTATGTTAGAACTTTAAATATCAGAAGATACTCGTGGTTAGTAACATCTTAGTTTTCAGATTTCCCCTAATAATCTGTAAACTGGGTTAGGTCACACAAGTCTTTCATACACCCAACAAAAAATATTAAACAGATATGGTAAAAGAAATGTATATAGGAACCAGTAAGCATTTCCCATTAAATGGTTGCTTTCAGTTATCTGTTAGTGGTGAACAACCTTAAATTAAGTAGGTTTAAGTAGAAACTGTCTGAATCCAACTGGTTTTCAAGGTTGATCAGGTTGATGGTAACGTCAGTCTGTAGTTAAAAACCGTATTTAACTGCAGGTTTCAAGAAAGAAGATTGGTATGCATTTGTAGGATATTGTGTTACGAAATAAAAACTGGGGTAAACAAATGCCTGCCGAAAATTGGTTTCTTCACGTTTTATTAATCATTTCAAGAATTTTAAATCAAATTATATCACTTATTCGCACTCAGCAACTTTGTGCCTATTCGTGCAGTAGGCAAGTAGCCACACCTGTTGTGTAAGGGCTAATAATACTTACTACCTTCCCTCCTAGACCTTAGTAGATGGAGGGGGATTCGAATCCATGACCCACTAGTTGATAATAGCCTCCCTAAACCACTGAGCCACAATTCTACAAGACATGATCCGGGACCGATGGCCTCAAACACCAGAGCCTTATCCACTAGGCCACCGAGTCACATCGGTTACTCACTGGTGACGTATTCATGCACACATTGAGTTATCTCTACTACATTAGAACCGTAAGTCCAATTGTTTTTGAAGCTACCTCAGAAAATGCTCTCCTAACATTACTCTTAAGATAATTTTCGTGTTCCTTTAAATATCCATTCGTTTTCTGAGTTGCAAGCATGCTGATAAGTTTTTTAAATACTCAGTCTTGTTAACATGTATATAATTGACGAGAATTCAATGTAATACAAATAATTCATCGTATCCTGCATACCTATTTGTTTTTGCTTTGTTTAAGCAATGTAGCTTAGTGGTATATTTCTCTCAGAGTTTCATCTTGAATTTAGTATTTACAACTCATAACTTTGAATGCTTTTGTTTTAGAATGAGCGCACTCATCTTTCTCAAGGTGAAGGTATTCGGAATTTCCTTTCACTTATACCTGTTGTGTTGATTACTCTTATTTTCCCAAGCTCAAAATAATAAATATGACTTAGTGAAATTGTTTCTGGCCCAAGTACGTTTTATGGATATTCTCTTATTAAGTGTCTTATAAGGACCATGCATATTTTATTAGGCTTCTTATTATGATAGAGTGAGCCCCCGATATGGTCTGTAAGCATACTGTATTTTTGGTAGGTCGCCCGCCACCAATTTTTACCTTTTACTGCTTTGTATCTAGAAGTATGTTATTGTCGTAGACCACTTCTCTGTATTCATATAAAAGTGGAAAATGAAACTGTAATAACATGCAATTTCCAACCAGTTTGATGTTTTTAGATGTTCATCGAAAACCAACGATACTCAGTAAAGATTATCCATCTTGCCGTACGAAATCATGTACAAGATCTTCAGTTATTAGCACGAACATCTTCAACAAAAAAAAGAAATGAAGTTCAGTAGTCTACATTTCATGTGATATTTCAATTAGAGCTAACCCGAATATCATCGCCATCAGAATTGACGTTCCAGGAATCGGTTTGTATAGAATCCTTAGTTCACACTGCTGATGAGAACTCACCCAGTATGAAACAGCAATTCGATATCTTTATTTCTTTATTTAATGCTTACGCATAATAACTTTGAAATTTCCTAGAGTGTAATGTCGAACTCAGAATAACCTGGCAGTACATCGATGTATGTGTATTTACCATCTGCTTGTGTAAATACACTCTTTTTTTATCTAAAGATACGAAATTCATATGAAAAAAAAACAGGTTGATCTAACCTACACAACTAGACACTGCCCTTTAATAAACAGTTTTATTAATGTCAATCAATTGTTTACTAACTGGTTCATGTGTATGTAAATCTGTACATTTTCGAAATAAATGTAAACAAAATTTAATGAAATCAATGGTGGTTTGTGTAATGTTGCCCATGACCCCAAGGACATAGTAATTGTATGCCGAATATGAGATTATGTATATCCATTCAGGCTTAG